TTTCATCCTGATATTCCTATATTATACCCAAAACTTTATTCTTATTAACTTCATTCTAAGTTGGGAAGTTCATATATATAAATTCAGAAAATATCTTTGTATCTCAATTTATTTCAATTTTTAGGAAGATAATTAAATTTAGTCACTTTGGTGACTATGGTCTTCGTTGTTTTTCTTCTTTATAATTCAAACTTATAACCTATTGTCCTTTCTCCATTTGCTAGTAAAACATATTCAAAATTCCACACATCTTTTAAGAGGTGGTAATTATCTTACCTTTAATTCATTCACCGCTTGACTCCTCGGTTCACCTCACATTTTAGGCTTCTCTCATTAAAGCCAATTCTCCATTCAAGAGGTTAATGATGCATGCAAATATTATTATTCCATCCCCTCAATAAACATATAACTAGTTATTTAAGATCTTATTTAACAAGCAAAAGCAAAGACTTGGATTTGAATTAGGAAAATTACAATTTGGTAGTACAAATTCCTGCCCTAATGTTACACCCTCCCAATATTCCTATACCCTGAAGGAAATAGTCTATTATTATCAAAGGATTCTCTACATTTATTGATATTTATACTCCTTGTATATTCAAAATTTATACTAGACCATTTTTGCTTCAAGTAAGTCATGCTAACTGATAACAGAAGATATTAATTCTTCTTTAGAGATAAAGCTTGCAGCTATATATAAAAAATGTTTAATAATATGCAATTCTGATTACAAGGTGTTTAATTTGTACTCTTTGAGAATCTCATAATCCACAGGGAAATGTTGACTAAGATAGATATCAAAGCTTCTTATAAGTAAAAATTATGATCTTTTCAATTATATTCTCAAATGTTTAGTTTTTGGTTAAGAAGTTAAACCTTACAAGATAAAAATATAAGAAATTCAAAATTTTAGCTCAAACTTAATTAATTGTATTTATTAAATGTTATTACTTACTTTGATGTATTGTAATTAACAGATTTAAAATAAAGAACAATACAAATTTGGAAAACCCTTTTTTGTTGCTCATGTTCTAAAAGTGATTGATATTTTCTAATAGGAATGAGCTGTTTACAAAAAATTAAATTGAAAAAGGTCCATACATTATGTTGCATCTATCTTTCAAAAATAATAAATTTCAAATTATATTTAAG